AACAGAAAAGTTGAGGCTGCTGAGGATCATAGAAGTCATTTTGTCAACAGAGGACAGCAGTTCATTCTCCCAATCTTGGCTTTATTTTTCTAATTAAAAATCAACAATTAGCTGATTGCCATCACAGAATGCAGAAAACATGCCAGTCTTCAGAATTATTAGTAAGCAAGACGTTTTGAAGATCTCTCCCACCTCTAAGATGCTCATGGAGCAGTTCAGTGACCAGCAGATCACACTGTATTACAGATCAGCAGATGTGAATGATGTGTGTGCTCGTGACCATTGTGAACCTACAAATAGAGAACTCTGCTTTCAGTGAAACTCCCCTGAAAAGATAAAGATGGTGAATGCGTTATTTAACTCTGCGCTAACTGATTTTTTCTGGCCACTTTTGGACAGTAGAATCAACACAGCATTGATACATCACTATTTAATTTAATATTGTTTATTGTTAACAAAGACAGAGTCATTAACACATCCAGAATCTACTAAGTAATACAATTTATTTATACGTGATGTTTGTGTCCACCCGATGAATGTAAGACCAATATTCTCTGTTTGATCTCTAACATCTCCTGAGGGAAATATCTGGCTCCCTAGCTGTTAATGCTCCATTGTGTTCAACCTGAGAAAAGCTGCATGCTGTGCCTAAACTTTACAAAGTTTGCAGACGCCTAAGTATTGAGCTGAAACTTATATGAAACTTGGTGGTCTCAGAGGATATTACATTGACTTACATTGATTACTGGTACCCTTACCCTTCATGCTATTATAGTTAACCAAGCTTGGTGCCATCAGTACATTTCACCTTGTGTGTAAAAACCACATCAGAGAGGTTAACCAGTAGCAGCATTAGTGTTATAGCACTTCTCTCCTCCATAAGTTGATTATAATTTTACCTTTACTTGTTATCTTGACAAGTTAAGTGCTTTATTTATTAATAATACCAGAGTCAGTAGGAGAAGGTTGGTGTGAATGGCAGGCATATAGTTTGTATAGTGCATATATTTAGGCAGTAATATCACTTTGGTAAAGGTTAGGTAAAGATTTTTGTATCACATGTATTAAGGTGAATCACATACAAATATGGTTTGTGTTAAAATGTTTATGTACCTCGAGTAAATGGACACAGTGGCTGATGGCTGTATGATGGATGATGACACAAGTAGAATAATCCCCTAATAGGACAAAGTCACTGCTTGATCTGTGAAGCATCTGTATTAATATGTAGGCTACACAGCTAATGAAATGACAAGTTCTAAATATCTTAAAAAGCCCAGTATTTAACTCAATATGTGTTTCTCTCATTAACACACTGAAGTTCATTTCAACTCCCGAAAAAGCTCGGGCTTCCTTTTTTAGTTCTAACAAGCAACCAATATGTTTGTTAACTGTGCTCACTCTTGGAACAAAATGAATTCGATTAAATACACTGCTTTGTGAATATAATGGGTGACTACTGGTGATTGGCTGGAAGAATGGATCGAAAGAGTATAATGGGAGCAGGGCCATTAGACTTCAGTTTTGCATTTGATGTGATTCATCACAAATTGAATCTGATATCCACTAGAACACAGGAGTTTGTGGGATTCCACAAGGATGCTCACTTGGCCTCTTAATAATTTCCACCTTTACTACTAATCTTCCACCTGCTTAAACAAACTATGACCTTGTATACAGATAAACAACAATGCACAAAGAACAAAATGCTAGGAGACACTAGAATAGGTCATTTGGAATG